GCAAACAATGCTGGTAATGCGAAGTGAATAAGATAAGGAATTGCAGCCAGCAAGTCAAACATTGGGTTGGAAAATGTTGATAGGATTTGATGAGGGTAACAGTGGAACACAAGCATTTCTAGCCATGGCAGAAAATTGCAATTAGGTTTAACAACAGCACTCAGTCCAGTGATGTCTCGTAGAACACGGTAATTGGAGTATAATATAAGAAATGAAATAAATGGTAATGCTGCTATTGTCAGTCCTTTAAGTGGAATTTTCCTCAACTTTGATGGAATACTTTCAACCCAAGAGTAGAATTCAGCCTAAATTTTTAAAAAATCAGTTAATAACCAAAATTACAATGCAAGCACAAGAACTTAACATTGAACTAACTATAATTAACATCCGTCACATGTATTTTCTTTAGAATTCTTTCAAGCTAAGAAATATGACACAAGATTAAAACAAACAGTATGTCACTGCTGACATTCTGTTTAAGATTTCTTTGAACAAAGGCTTTTAATTATGCTGTTTCTCATTGCAAGAATGTTTTACATAAGGAAATAAGTAAAATGATAATTTCTTGTTTGTACAAAAAACAAGACACTCTTGGAGCGTGCACTGGGTTACCCAATGTGCAGGTATGCTGGAGCTTATTTAACACCTAATCTTTGTTATGTACTGCTTTTTGGGGGGAGTGGGTACTTTGGAACATTTAAGATGTATATTTTTTTCCAAAACTTCCGAATACTACTGATGCAGTTTTGTAGAAAACAACGTTGCTTTACTGACATCACTAAGTTTTAATATACTCTCCATCTTGAATTACACAAGAATCTTGAGCTGACTTTGACCTGACTAAGACTTGTTGCGTCTGACGAAATAAATATCTTTATTTCAGAAATTTTAAATTTGTTTAGAAATAYGTTTAAATGATTATTTGTTTTTGGCTAACAGTTCTGAAGTTCATGATCTCTACATTATTCTCTACTTTCACATCCCCATAAGACTTTGCGTCTTTGGGGGGTAACCAGAGGGTAAAAACCCACTTATTTGCTGGAGGCTGATCAGAAAATGTTGACAATACCTTGTTTGGTATCCAAAAATAAAATGGAGAAGTAAAAAACAGAAAAAGATAGAAGCTTGAAGACGTTTAAGGTAAATTTTAAACATTTTTCGTAAGTCAACACATTTTCTGTAAGACAGAAAATTTCTGTACACGCAAAAATAACTTGGAATAAACTGATAATCAGTATTGTACAGGTAAAAGCAGGTATAGTATAAATTCAATTAAGAAACCTTTCAGTTTGAAACAGTTTTTTTGATTGCTTACCCCTCAAAGACGCAAGGCATTATGGGGATGTGAAAGTAGAAAATTGATAATATTCTTGTAATATAGTTGGTGTGAGCCATTAGGCAAGCAGCAACACTAAACTTGCGCTTGTACTCTTCCTGTGTTACAGATGCTAGCTAAAATCTTCATTTGAGAAATTTTGTACTTCAGTACTTTGACCTGGGGTCATGAAATCGTGCTTTAGAACACAAGTGTTTCTTGAGCAATGGCTTGCCAAGTTTATTTCTGATTTGTTGTTCACTCATCTAGGCAAAGTATTTCACTGTTAAATTATGTCATACTTCAACTTATTTATTGCTGGAAGTATTTATCAAGGTGATGAACGATTTAGTTCAAAGGCAGGACAGTGTTCTTTYATGAGCTTTTGAGTGCTGTTAAGTGCCCAGTCACTGCCAGTTCTGCAATGGCATACCGAAACAAATGACAAAATCCTAATGCAAGGAGACTTGTTGTACTTGAACGCTATTGAAAGCAGTCATGTTCCAGACAAGAAATGCCATCCCTGAATTATCTGCCTGACAGAGTATGTTTGGCTAAGACAATCACATGCAAAATATCATAACTTTGTTTAGAAATATGTCAGTCATARCTGCAATTCCAATCATAACAAATTGCTGTATTYATGACATATTGTTGTTATACATAAATATGTACAATAATTTATATATAGAGACAGTTATATATTTTGTATAGAGTTAGAGACACACATATATATATATAAATCCCCATAACTAAGATCGAGTTTTAGAAAGAATAAAAAATATTCTAATGTTTTATCATAAAAAATGTAGATAAAAACAATGAAATATCGATTATATGGTACTTATAACTTTTTTTTCAGTGCCATTCTCATACTAAATTTTAGCAAAGATAACTGACCAAGGATCCTCGAGGTTGAATAGTTTTAAATTCAGTGATGAAAGATTCCTATGATACAATGGTACAAACTTATATCATCGGGTCTAACTTGAGGCAGTCAGTTGCCCTAGCGAGTCTTTAAGCCCTAGTGGCCAGCTGTTAACTTTTCCATAACAATATGATGAAATTAACACTATATTATGGTAATATCTATTTCATGGGTTGATACTAATGATTACTAATAACAGCATTTCACTTTCTATTAGAAACGACTAGTTTTTTAAGTATCCTAACCAGCGAAGTGGAATGAAACTCGGTTATTAAAAGGATTCACAACTTATCAAAAAGTACTTATGACCAAAGTTACCAGCTCTATTACCACGTAGTATTTAATGATAGATTCAAGCATATGTCTCATGAACTAAAAAGACTGAAAGTCGTATCTTCCTTTAGGCTCTAGTAACCCACGCGATTGAAGCCAGAATACTGCAGAATGAGTAGCTGTAATAATACTAATAAATATGTAAATTACAATTCTAGAAATCTTCTTTTACTGCTCATTATATTACTTCTAAAGCCTGGAGTTACAGCCTCAGCTGCTAAGCCAATCTATAAACCCAGAATCTAGGAACACGTCATTCAAATCAATATATGTGTACTCTTGCACAACATTGCATTTTTTACCAGATGGAGAAGACAAAAAAAACTAAAGGCATTTTACGACTAGGCTGCTAAAGGCAACCCAGTAATAATAAAAATTTGGCTTGTTTGCTGGACATCTTCCATTTTACAAACACTGGTATAATCAGTCCTCTAGGTCAGTATGGTTAATGTCATAAGTTAATCACAAAACGTTAATTCACCTTTTCGGCACAAGCTGTTACTGGGCATAAATTGTTTTAGATTGTGTTATGGTCACCAAAAAGTTCAGACGTTCTCGAATTTCCCTACRAATGTACTGACTCTAAATGAACTATTTACTTGGTTAATGTTTAGTTAGTTCTCTGAATACAAGTAAATGATCATTTTTCTAGCTTGGTTTAAGCTTTTCTAATTGCTGTTAAGAGAGCTAACTAAAGAAATCTACCTAAATTTTATCTTTAAACTCAGCGAATTTGTATAGGAATCCGAGAACGATGCCCGAACTTTTTGGTGACCTTAACAGAATCCAAGCTAGCGCCGAAAAGGTTAATTGTGCAATACTTCTCTCGATTACAAAATCTTTTGTCAGAACGATGTCTATCTCTCAAAATGTTAAGAATACAAGGCTGACACATAAATTATTTAACGAGAAACATACGAATTAGAATCATTTACGATCAAATTGTGTTGCTTTCGAAGCATATATGTATGTTAACGAAAATATACTCATAAAATACCAATAAGATTAACTTCTTAATAGTTTTGTGGTGGAAATTAACCTTCTGGGAAATGGCGGAAAAACTAAAATGCATTTTCATTAGAAAAATACCCGATAGGCTTACTTGAACTATTCAAATCAAAACCACATCTTGGTATTGGACAGTAATAGACTTACCTGTTTCGACTCCGTGTAAAATTCGAAAGCTTCCTTTAAAGACCTTGCAAATCGATTCCATGAAACAATGATCTAGGGAAATGACGATTATTGAAGTCAGCAAACATTAGAAAATTCAGTAAGCTCACTACTGTASCTGCAAACAGCCAAGTTACACCTCTTTAAAATATGATATACTGCGCCTACAAACAAAGTMTTAACTTACCCTTCCAGTCTTGTACTCTTGGATAAAGATCTTCTCTTCCTTGTAGCTTTTTAAAGTCATCTTTCTTTATTGTAAGTTGATAAAAATTGATAAGAAATCGCTGTAGGTAATGTCTTATAACACRATGTACCTATTGCGGGATAGATGTACTTCAACGTTTCTGTTTCTGATGTCTTATGAATCTTTGACAATTTATCTTCCTAAATTTGCACTGTTGAGAGGATGAACTCTAGCTTACACGGCTTTCTTGATAAACGACTTATTAGACCTGAATATTGTCCGCGCTTGATCGACAAGTTCGTTTTGGGCGGATAACTGGAGCCTTGGTTCAGTACGCAATTTATTCCAAAGGCAAGACAAATCCGGTTTTAAAACTTGATAGATGTCTTCTTAGATCAATATTCCTTGAGACGAGCAAAAGTCCATGGAGTTTAAAGCCCGTTAGTCCTAGTAGGAGCGACTTTCCAAGCCTCCATTCTTTCTGATGAGTCTTTCGTTATTTCGCCATGATGGAAGGGGGAGGAGATGGCGCAAGGTATCATGGGAAACAGATTTATCACCAAGGTTACCTGTATTTCGTCATCGGTCAAAGTAGAATCAACTTCCATATTAGGGTATAAAGACTGGTTGTTTGGTTTTCAGTGAACCACAGGTAAACCACACACGTACGAAGCTTATTTTAACTGACCTGTGAAGAATCTATCAAAATACTAACTGATTTTAAACTTGTCTTTACATGTTCTTTATAAATTGACTTCACATAATAAAGGATTATCCTAAAATCTAGTGAATAAAAGTTACAGTAAATGAAAGTAGCGGCAGTGACTTAACGTAATATAAATACTTTTTGAAACCATTAATTTTCACTAGAATCGTATAATGTATGACTTTTAAATGTTCTTTATGGATAAAAATGTCTTTAAAATTTGAGATATGCATTAATGGGCACACATTTAATAATATTTTATCATGTTTCTGCATGTCATTAGGTGACCTAATTTCTTATCCATAAAGAACATTTGAGTGTATTCATCCATCCATCCATCCATCCATCCATCCATCCA